CGGCTCGCGCCCAGGATCGCCGGGCCCCAGCCCGGGACTGGGGCTCGGAGGAGCTGGCGGAGCGCACCCCGGAGGGGTGGTAGCAGGGGCGTCTCGCTCACCTTTGACGTCGGCACTCGCCACCCCAGCCCAAGTTAACCCTTCTCCTGCAGGTGAGAAAGGCAGGGGCGCCGCCTGTCCACTCCCCTCTTGACCGCCGGCGGGCAGACTTGCGCAAGCGGCCTCCAGACACACCCGCCAGGTCGTGCAACCCCCGAGGGGACAACGCGGCTCCCCTTTGCCTGAGTTTGGTCCCCTCCTCATTTTCCTTTCTTCCACGGAAAACTGTTCTCCAACTAGATGTGTACACACCCCAGCCCAGCGAAAAGTGACTCTGCAGAACCTGGATTCCTAATCACTTTTCCACATGAGCCTCCGGCCCCGGCGCGCGACAGGGAACGAGCCGGGAGCTCCCGAGCCGCCAAGAGGGGGGCCGGGCTGCGGGGCAGGCAGCCCCTCTTCCAGGCTGGAGGGTCGGGAAAAGCTCCCCCCGCAGTGACGCCCTTGTAGACGGTGTCTAGCCCTTTAAGAAAAGCCCCGGCCGAGGTGGGGTGCGACAGAGGGGGGGTGAGGAGCGGGGCTCCCTTTCTCAGTCGGCTAAAAGGTGTCCTGCGCTCCGTCTGACTCTCCCGTCTCTCCTCTCCTTCTTTTCCTCTGTTTTTCTTTTCTTTAGACACAAAAGTTGGGTTGTGAATTTTCCGAGGTAGCCGCCGTCTCGCCCCCGACCCCCGCCTCTGATCTACCTAACTATAATTAAAGTGCGTTTTTTGTGGCATTAATAAAGAGTTATTTGTCCGCCGTTTCCACGGTCTTCACAAAGAAGACTTTCATAGGGGCGGCCGCTCGGGCTGCGAGTCCAATTTATACAAAAATGTTGTATTTTTAGCCCTGGGCTCTGTTTAGATGGCGCTCGATGGAAACGGAGAGCCCTTGGAGGTCCCCCGTAAAATCTGATAAATGACTCCGAAAAAAATAACGCTGGGATTCAGAGGGCTCCCATTAACCCTTTCTGCACTCTCTACACGCAACCCCCAAATGCACCCCTACCCCGCGGGATCTAGGGCCTTGGGGAGCAAGGATGGGGAGGCTCGGGTCTCTTCCCCAACTTCCGTGCAGCCTGCATACAGATCCCCAGAGGCCATTGTGTGTGTGTGGGGGGGGGTCATAAGGACATAGGGGGGCAAAGAAAGGTCAGGAAACGGGACTGGGGGGGGCAAGGGTACCAGATCGTGTGTGGATTCTACAGATTGGCTCTAACAAGGTGGGAGCCCTTGCCTATGTGAGTTACTTTATTTTCTAAGTTCTTGGTCAAAAGCCTAGACCACCGCCTAAGTTAACCCTTTGTGTCAAAGAGAGCATCTGAGGATGTCTTTCCGAGGAAGAGCTCAACCGGTTGAAGAGAACCCCACCTCATTGGACGAACACCCTCAAAAAGACCGACTCCGCGACAGGGAAAGCCCACAGCAGAGAGGAACCTCGCGCCCCCCTCCTCTACCCGCTGGCTGTCACTTGGCCCCGGGGGGGGGGCGGGGCGGGTGTGTGCGCGCTCGCGCGGACTGCACGCGTCTGTTAATTTCAAGCCAAGCTTTCACACTTTTAAACCCACAGTTCCCCACGCTCACCTTTCCTGTGCGGAGGCTGTCTGTTTCAGGATACGCAGGCTTCCCCTAATGCCCATCAGCAGCCAGCGGACAAACGCGCACACTCACACACCCAAACCCAAACACACCTCACGCAGTTACCCCAGAGGTTCCCCCCCCCCGGAAAAAAATCCTGCTGTGTATCAAATTGCAGAAGCTACTGTCTAGTATTTGACGAGGTTAACTCCAGGTTAATCTCCGCATTACTTACCTGGGTCTGGTCCTGGACGCGCCCCACCCCCATGATCACCGGCAGAGTGGGATTGTTCCCGTCTAAGGACACACACATACACTCCCTGTGGGTCTCCCACACATCCATCACAAGTTTCTTTCTCCTGCTAAACTGTCCCCACCCAATAAGTAAATAGACCCTTTTCCCCGAAAGCCGAGAGCCCTCAGGTCTTGGGCCTCTCATTTTCCTTGGGTTACATTTTTCCTCTCCCACCACAAAACACACATACACTGGGAAGGACCAGACCAGGGCTGCTGTATCCGGCGCAGCTGACTATAAGGCAAAGGTACAGCCCTGGTCTTCAAGGGGTAATTCAAGCTGCCACTGATGCCACTCCACTTCTCCGGACTCAGTTTTTGGGACCCAGCGTCGCCGTTAAAGCCCAGGGCGTTGAGGGCGACTGGGGCCTGGGGCGCACAGGGCAGCGAAAGCTGCTCAGAACCCGATGCCCCTTTGGTCTAGCGCAGCGCGAGGATCCCCCAGGGCTTTTGGCGCACCCCTGCTTGGTCGACTGCTACCGAGGCACGTCTGTGTGGGCGTCCTGTCCGGTCCAGGAACCCCATTTACCGGCCCTCTCAACTGGCGCACTGGGCGCCAGGGCTCTCCGCGCCCCGCTGCAGGCGGGCAGGAGAAACCCCGGCGGCGCAGGCAGAGCGAGGGAAGGGGCGGGGCGGGGACCAGTGCCTTCGAGCTCCCGGCGTCCCCTGGCCGGCCCTCGGCTGGGTCTGCCGGGCGCTCGAAGCTAGCGGACCCCGGAGAGCCGCAGGAGGAGAGCGCCCTTACCTGTAGCAGCCAGTGGCCGGTCTCTCCGATGAGCGGGAAGCCCATGGAGCCCTTCGGGATGGGCAGCTTGCAGCTCTTGTCGCGGGTAGCAGCCCAGCGCAGCTGCCACAGCTGCTGCGACACGGCCAGCAGCAGCGTCACGGACACCAGGCACGCGGCGAGGGTGGCCAGCGCCGACACCAGCTCCAAGCCCTCAAAGAGCATGTTGGCGGCCGCTCGGGGGATTGGCTGTGCCGGCCGCGGCGGGGGAGGGGAGGGCTGGACCGGAGCGGAGCGGCGGGGGAGGGGAGGCTGCAGCCGGGGGTCCTGGCACCTCCAGCCGAAGCAGAAAGAGGAAGGGGCCGAGGGCAGGGGGGTAGAGGCTGCGAGGTAAGAGCGAGGGGGGGTCGCCTAAAAGAAGAGAGAGGAGACACAAGGCGACTCGAGGTGTAACTTTGTTTGTTTGTTTGTTTGTTCTTTTATAGCGGGCCTGGGGGCTGCTCAGTGGGCAGTGAGATGAAGCCGCCGAGTCAAGCTGTTGGATTTGCTCTCCCCGCAACCATCACACATGGAAAACTTTGGAAAACTTTGTCCAGCAGGAGCTTCTCTCTTGTAAGCCCTTTCCCCTGCACGGGAAAGAAAAAAAAAAGAAGGGGAACAGAGAGCTAGCGGAGAGAAAATGCGATCGGTTTGTCAAAAGTATTCCCCAAAAATTCCTAGGTGGAAAAAATCTGAATCTCAAAATTCCAACGAACCCAAAAACTTTGGGAGTCGAGGGAGAAGGCTCCCCAATTGAAGCGGGTGGAGAGGCCCGAGCCCAGAGTCTGGGGTGCCCCGGGCTGCGCGCCCAAGCCCGGGAGCCGCTGCGGCACCGGAGGCGGGGGCGGCGGACGCGGCGGTGAGGTGGGC